CTGCGAACGCACCTTGGTACGTCCGTAATGCCGACCTTCATCGGGACCTAGAGCTACCTACCTATAATTCAACAATATCTTAAAAAACTCTCTGAGAATTTCTTCAAAGCCTCAGAGTCGCACTCCAGCCATTTTATTCGCGAGGCAGCTACTTATGCAGCCCCACCCCCCGCTATCGAGTCCGCAGGCCGAGAAACTCTCACTCGGACCCGCCTAATAAACTGTCAAACGACCTGAACTGCCTCCTGGCGGCTCAGGCCAACTCTAATTAAATTAAATTATTCATAATTAAATTGCCTTCGTAGGCACTCCCTCAGCGGCTCGTAGCCGCCTGCGCCCTCTTTTCCCAAAAGAGGGTCGCTCCCGATAGGGCATAAAAAAGCTTAAACAGCCAGTTGCCAGTCCTCAAAGGCGGTTTTTAGAGGGTAACACTTAGGTTCCACGGGCAGGCAGTGAGTCCCTCATAACCACGATAGACCGGCTATCGTGGTATGCGTAATGCATTTTCCGTCTCCTTACATATAGGGTAGCCCTTTAATTGCTTCGGGCGCAAAAAAAAAGGAACATCGGGCAGTTGAATTGTAACCGGCGAGCAGACAACATCTCTGTTAATATGTATATATATGTGTACCGTTAGATGTGTACCGTGTAAAGTGAAGTGTGTTAGTGACATTGTGTAATAAGTGATACCGTGTACATTGTACAAAACAAAGCAGCGTGTTGTATAGTAATATATCATATTTTACTCATAATAATAGATATTCTATGAAAATTTACTAACAAATAGCAGTAGTTTTTCATAGAAGTTCTTTAGAAGAGTTTTTATTCAATATTATTTAGATTTATGAGTCATTTTTAATCGCTACTTAGTCACTTAGTCGGCTTAATTAATAATTTGAGAATTTTTAAGATAAAAGATACCAAAAATATTGTTATTTCAAATAAAAGCTATTTAATTATGATTTGGTTTTATTTATTTTTTCCCAAAACGGTCACAGTTTCAAACAAAACCACCAAAACTTATCTCTTAATGGTCTTGGTTTCATATGGACCCGTCCCCTATAGCCAAACTCGAATAAATCAGCTAGGGAATATCACTCTAATTCCACCCTATACACCCCTAAACCTATCCCAATACCAAAAATTCAAATTCAACAAAAATAAAATTTTGCCCTTCATAGGATTAAACAGAATTCACCTCCGACTGAAATCCCTCATTATTATACATTTAACCCATAGATACGATTGAAATGTTTAGCTACCTAAATGCTTTGTTTTTGAGCTAGTACAAATGATTTATACAAAAATGAAATGAACGACATTGAATTAAAAATTATCACAAGTATATCCTGCTAATTCTAACCTCACTTTTGTAGAGATTGACACTATTCATATATCAGCGTTGCCAACAACTATTTGTCTAATTCCCCGAAAAACCAAGTCAAATTTCTCAATTTGGGGATAAAAATCAGCAGATTCCCCATATAATCATTACAATTTAATTTGAGGAAAAGTAACAATTTTCAACTAATTTTATTAGATTTTTTTTAGGTTTACTCCTTAAGAATAATTTTCATATATATGCCCGGGTTATGAAAATTTATGGGGAGAAAAATTTTACGTTATGTATTTAACGTTCAAACAACATTCAAAACGCTTGTTTACGTTTCTATGACTATGTAATGTATTTGGATGAATATAAATCATATAATTAATATAGATAAAAGTATCATGCATGTTTTCAGTAATATAAAAAATGCGTCTATTTAACCTCGCATAGTAATCTATATATTTTATAATCGTTCGTAAAGAGTGAGCTCCAGTCATGCGTCGGAGCTGCCAGATACTTTTTTACTTACATTTTTACCGAATTTATTTTTCACACTTGCATATTTTTGTAACAAACATTTTACTTCATGGAGTGTATTTAATTCCTTAGCTTGTTGCCTCTAAATATTACCACGGTATCTGCACTTATTTAAATGCCGTTGTCTGATTTAAAATTTAAAAAATGAAATGAAAAACATTAAATGATACACATAAGTTGCCAAAATAAATGCGAAAATTAAATGGTGTACAATGAAGATAATTATTAAAAAAAAGGAGTCATTCAATATTCATAAGTAACGTAACAAAAATGTTCAGATAAGTATTAAGATTTATCGAAACAGAGTTCCCACTTGACTCGATTTTCAAAATCCCGCATTTTCCTCTTATAATATCAATCCTCAAAAAATCGCCAATCAACTTGAGATTCCCCGCAGTTTGAGGAATTACTCACATGTTGGCGACGCTCATTGATATGTTCCTAACTGGCAATGGTATGTCAGCATGCAGCCTTATACAACTTCGTAATATCTTTTTTATTTCTTAGTGTTCCGTTGTTCTTCGTATTGTACGAGGAAAAACGAAAAAGAATTGGGATAAAAAAGGAACACACAGTTCACTTAATGGTAAGTGGATATTGGGACAGTTTTTTTTAATAAAATATTGAAATTCGATAGAAAATTGTTGAAAATAATAAATAGAGAAGAATGAGTTTCCAAAAGAAAATATTGGACTACATACAGCAATTACGTGAAAGAAAAATGATTTTCTTATAAAGGTGCAGTAATGGAAAAGCAACAACGCATCCAGCGATAACACTAAATAATAAAACTATTTATTGACGTAATGATTTCTTATATTTACGCGAACACTACACATTGAAATAATACTAGTTTTTACGGAATTTATCGCGTATATTTTAACTTTTTAAATACCCGACGTTTCGAACGCTTTACAGCACTCATGGTCACGGGCAGGACTGAGATGTTCAACGTCCATATGTCATAGTTAACCGCAGTTACCATAGATTAAAATTTAACTTTTGTTCCGATCTATGCAGTATGAACTTATGGTATCTTGAAGTCTTGCAGTTGTATGCTTGGGTTGGGATTTAATTTTATTTATTATAGGATCCCAAGCAGATGGTAGCACCCAGCCATCTTCTCTATTGAAATTAGGATGCATTGCAAAAGAGAGCCATACGGGCAATTTATAACTGAAATTGTAAAGAGTCATTTAGAGAAAATTTTAAGGAAATAAACATATTAACTTTAGCATCGCAATATAGTTATGAAAATGTAATGTATGTACATAAAGATTTAATAAGAATACAAATGTTCATAATTTAAACACTAGGAACAAATATAAGCTTGTAATACCAGTTACTAGACTCCACAGAATTAGTAATTCATTTATGGGGCAATGTACACGCTTTTACAACAAAATCCCAGAAAATGTACAAAATTTGTCATTAAAAAGTTTAAATGTTTTATTAAAAAAAAATGTACAAAAAGTGTTATTATATTATAGATGAAAATAACCTCTGGGAATGAGGTGACCATCACGATGCTGGTTCTATAAAAATTCATACAAAAATTGTACAAAATAAATTCATTGTAAAGTGAAATATGTTTAAAAAAAAGTCCCGCTGGGTTTCTTGCTAGTTCTTCCCAGGACAGAGGTTTTTTTAAGAACCAGTGGTAAATAAAAAATGACTATCAGTAAATATACAATAATCAATATTGAATTAAAATCATTCATTTCATTTCGAGCTAGAGAGCTTCAATGCGAACTAGAGCAATGTCAATACGTTCTATAATGATTTCTCTTTTGTTACTCTTTTTATAATAGAATCCATTTTTTTTTAAATATTGTTGATATATATGGTAGACTCCCACTGAACAAATTTGCACCTTTCAGAGAAACTGCTAATTTTGTTAATGTTGACAGCTCGTTACGTGTGTAGTGTGCGTATTTAGGTGTGATAACGAATTACTGCGGTGTCGAAATCATGGAAGTTTGAGAACAGGAGAACGATCGCTACGTGCTAAAGCCCGCCTGTACCTGAAAATTTGTAGAATTTATAGCCGCGCTGCTGTCGGTAAGTACTTAGTATCTGCGAAGTAATTTTTTAATTATTGACAAAAAGAAAGATATAAAATGGTAAAATATTATTAAATAATAATAATAATTAATCAATAATAATTAATAATTTATATTTGTAATAATTTATAATATTTATAATAATGAAAATTATAAAAAATATAGTTTATAGTTTATTTATAAATAAATAATAATAAATAATTTTTTTGATTGATTTCGTTTCTTTTTTTTATTTGGAGTAGATTACTTATTCTCCTCCGTTGTTGTATCTCCAATTTTTTTTTTGCTGATTCTAGTCACAGTAGCTCTTCCAATGGTTTAAATTACTTTGTTAATATAATTGTACAGAATAAATGTATATATAAATAAAATAAAAAATATAGAAAAAAATTATGTTAACTCTACTTTGACTCAAAGGTAAAGACCTAACATTTACTTGTTATCGTTATTAGCTTCGGTCTGTTCTTAACGTAGACAGAGAAACCTATAGACAAATTGACGCCTTTTTTCGCATTCGCACACGAAAAAGATAGATTTATGCATACGTCTTGAATAGAAATGAGATAGAGCGGTGTGATTGTTTGTCCCTTTCTCCGTGCTGGTTTTTTTGTTTAGAAAACTCTACAGTTTGCTAAACAACTTTAACAGCGTAGTGATTTAAGGAGTTTACAAGTTGGTTTAAGTGGGAAAAATGGTGAATCTTGTTCAGTTCAGTTCTTAGAACAATTAAATTTTTTATCTAAATGTGTTTAAAAGTCATAAAGATTATTGTATAACCTAAAAATTCGTTATCGTCCTTTCTCACTCGAGGCCACGCCGATCATTAGTCTATAGGTTTCTCTGTCTACGGTTCTTAACCTTACATACAAGTAGTATTTTTTAAAGCGAACGCGTTGATATTCAAATGAGACGAGAAATTTTGTGGAGATAGTATTTTGCTTACTGGTCTGTTTCAAAGTAAATTAATGGTATTTTTGAATTTTCATTCTGGCAATTTATATTCCTCAAAATTTGGCATGGTTGATCTTTACTTGAAAAGAATAAAATAATACAATTTTATTGGAAATAATATGAAAATGGAGTGGAAACCAGAGCAAGAAGGGTTACGACAAATACTTACTCTTCTCAAGGAGTCTCAATCACCAGACACTGCAACTCAAAGAGCTGTTCAACAAGTATCCTTTTGTAAATTTCACGTCGTAAGTCTTTATCGGCGTGGATGTTTTTTTTGTGTTATAAAACCGTTATTTTCATAATTTGTTCATAGATGTTGTTTAATATTCTCAAGCATTCATTTAATAGTTGTATGCAATGATTATTTACTTATTGGCATCTTTTTACCACGCTCGAGATAAAATCGATTTTTCCGACATGACAGTAATTGACAGCTATTCGTTGTAATTGTATTTTCCATAACAATGTTATATCAGAAATTGGAGGAATTGAATAAATATCCGGATTTTAACAATTACTTAATTTTTGTATTAACCAAACTGGTCACCGAAGAAGAGCCTACAAGGTCTCTGAGTGGTTTAATTTTGAAAAACAATGTAAAAGCACACTACAATAACTTTTTACCCGAGGTTGCAGAATTTATTAAACGTGAATGTCTTTCGGCGGTTGGAGACCCTTCTCCTCTAATAAGAGCCACTGTGGGTATTATTATTACCACTATTGCGAGCAAAGGTGAATTAACTTCTTGGCCCGAGCTCTTACCAGCATTATGTCAAATGCTTGACTCTCAAGATTACAATGTTTGTGAGGTAATAAATTAGATAAATAAATTACTGTTACCTTCCAGTGTTTGGGTAACTAAATACATTTTAATTTTACAGGGAGCGTTTGGAGCATTACAAAAGATTTGTGAAGATACTGCAGAACTACTTGATAGTGATGCACTCAATAGACCATTAAATGTGCTAATACCGAAATTCCTACAGTTTTTTAGACATTCTTCACCCAAAATTAGATGTCATGCTATTGCATGTGTAAATTACTTTATAATGGGGAGAACACAAGCTCTTATGTTGCACATTGATTCGTTTATAGAGGTATGTTTTTCAATTTTCTTGTATTTCTATTAGGATCTTATGAATATATTTTATGAGTCTGTTACAATTTAATTTCTCTTAGTGAAAGCTGCTGTCTTTTGTAAATATTCATTATCATTAGAGTCCTCCACAAGTCTAATGCTGTACATGTAGGACTTCCATAAGTATGTTTCAAAGTTCAGCCCAGAGCAACAGGCATCTATAGACTTCTAGAATGTTTTGCCAGGTCAACACCATCTACTGTGGGCTGTCATAAACTCTGCTTGCTGGGACAATATTACCACTGTAGAACCTTTATTTCCCACCAGTTTTTTTTATAGGATAAGGGTAACAAACAAGCACACAGTCCACCTGATATTAATTGGTTGCTGTGACCCATAGACATCTACATATATCCTCGATTACGAATCAAAATGGAAATGTTTTGTCACCTGTGGGGATTAAGATGGTATGCCTCATTTCCAGTAAAAACGTTCTCCGGTTCTCTGCACTCACTATACAAAACACACCAGCTTTAAGCTGCTATTTTACGCTGGTATTCTGTGTGAGTGTAGTCCTTCCCCAGTCGAACTGACCCATTTGTGCTGCAACTATACCCGTAATATAGCTGCAACATGGCTCTACCATGTATAAGTTGTTGGTACATTGAGCTATAAGAGCGTTTCATGCTATTTCAGCATATTGATCCATTGGGATATACTGGTAACTCTGGTTCTGCTGTATATATCAGCAATTTGGTTTTTTATCACACAAAATAATTTTGAGCGTAATGCTCCCTATAGCTCAATCAGCAAGCATAAGCGTTCTAATACGGCCAGTCGTGAAGAAACTCATCTTAATTCCATATATGTGGTAGAGCCATCTGCAGTTATATTAGTAGTATAGCTGTAGCGGGAATGGGTCGACTCGACCGGGGAAGGACCACACTCTCACAGAATACCAGTGTGAAATAGTTGCTGAGTGCTGTGTTTCATATGGTGAGTGTAGAGAAGTGGAGACCCTTATTACTGCAAACAAGGCATTCTATCTTAGTCCTCACGGGTGACAAAGCATTTGCATTTTGATTCATAATCGAGGAGTACCTGGATGACCAAGCTTTCCTTGTTTTTTTTTTTGGAAATTATATTTAGATACAAATTACATACTGGTGAAACATGAATAATATTTTTTGATCTTATGACATAACAGAAAAACCTGAACTGGTTACTTGAATAAAAAATCATGAGTGAAATTAGTTTAGTTTAAATTTTCGTATTTTTAAAAAATACTAATAAAGGGCTTGAAATAATAGATTTTCTCACAAAATAAGGGTACTTGAAAAAAAAGTTGGACCAGAGACAGGATGTGAACCAGGGCACTCCGAATTCGCAACCACTTGAGCTATTACAATAGTTAATACGCTGTCAAAATTTACCTTTTTATATTGTAGCAGTTTTTCATTGCTTGAAAACACAGACAAAAGGACATTTTCTAAAAATGAATCCTAACTAAATCGATTTATTGCCCCCGAAACCCCCTGGACACTAAATGTTATGAAAATCGTTGGAGCCATTTCCGAGATTCCGATTATATATATATATATATATATATATATATATATATATATATACACATAAGAATTGCTCGTTTAAAGGTATAAGATAGATGTAGATATCTATGGGCCACAGCAACCACTTACCATCAGGTGGACTGTGTGCTCGTTTGTCACACTATCCTATAAAAAATATATATATCATTACTGGCTTCATACACTAGTTGTGTTTTTGTACTGAATTTTGGAAATATCACATTTTTATAATACTATAGACCCTTTTTCCATCTAGTCCCCTTGTATTCCATCGTAGTCTTCAGGGGTGACAAAGCATCTGCATTTTGATTCTTAATTAAAGATAAATGTAGATGTCTATGAGCCACAGCATCCACTTTCCATCAGGTGGATTGTTTGATCTTTTGTCACCCCCCATTCTATATAAAAAAATATTCATTTAAAAATTACAAATTATTTATATTCTAAACTAAATATTAATGATAAAATCATTAATATTTATTTTTAGAAAATTTACATTAAAATATTTTTCATAATAATATTTTTAAACTTTGTTTATATTAGTGGAAAAATACTTAGGAACAGCCATTATTTTTATGGACACAATGGTTTCTAACTCAAATTCACTAAGTAAAATAACTCAAAAGTAAAAAAAACATTACTATATTTCCTATGTATTAATAATGATTCAACCAATAGTTAAAATTAATTGAATAATACTTTTATTTATTACAAATCACTGTTCGATTTTCAGATAAAATAATAAGACAATAGCAATGAAATAGATGTAATTAGATGTATAACTAATACATCTAATTACATCTAGTTACTAGACAGGCTATTTTTCGCAACTCCACATCTAGGTGGGCATTTTGCATGATGAATGTAGTACAGCAAAATGGGTTAAGATTGAAATAATCTTACTTTTTTTTGCAGAACCTTTTCCATTTAGCTGCAGATGAAGATCCTGATGTTAGGAAAAATGTCTGTCATGCCTTGGTTTTACTTCTAGAAGTCAGATTGGACAGGCTCATACCACACTTACCAAATATTATTGAGGTAGGCAATATATGTATTTTCCAGTGTTTCATGCCAAAATTTTATTATTATATATTATAGTGGATTTCAACAGTTTTTGTCTTTGTATTTCATTTCCTTATATTTTTTTGTAGTACATGCTAATTCGCACACAAGATCCTGAGGAAGGAGTGGCTTTAGAAGCTTGCGAATTTTGGCTATCTCTAGCAGAACAAAATGTTTGCCGTGAGGTAAGAAATCTTTACAATTATCTTATTGTCAGTGTCTATTTTTTTATTTCCACTGGTGAACACAGTATAGATGTATTGATACACTTGTAGATACAATACTAATATAACTACAGTGAATTTCGATTACAACGACGGCGGAAGGATCACTTTAATGTCGTCGCTGTATCCGGAGATCACTATATCTGAAATTACATAGTTACTTATCATTTATTTAATTATGTTATACACGAGCGTAATTGAAAAAAACCAGTTATAGTGCACTGTTTAAGTTTAGTTTTTTGTGCACGCTGTAAGGTGTATTCCATTATCATAATTCCTTCAACATCTTACTTATTTTGGCCTTCACCAAATAAACAGTACTTTTTGAGCGTTGTTATAGCACATAATGCATCTCTAGTTGTTGGAATCTCATTTAGATTGCAATCTTCTTCCTCTTCTTCATCCTCCTTTTCTTGTGTTTAAAGAAAAAACAAAGGATAAGAAAGCTTAATAGTTTTATGAATGAGTCTTTGTGCCTTTGCCGACTCAGTCACAATATCCGCAAATTTCTAGGAATCGGTCAAAAATGGTTCCTAAAAACAAGTCGCTATACCCGAAATTGACACTATAACCGAAGTTGCTATTACCGAATGAATTTCTTATGAAAGTATGCTTTAAATTCAAGAGACGTAAGTTTGACGTCGCTATAACCAAAAAGTCGTTACAACCGAGGTCTTTATTAATGAAATCCACTGTACTTAATTAGTATGAGTCCTGTATTAGAAAGTAGTTTCTCCAATGCAACAGAACTAATTTGAAAACTTAACAATAGTGTACAACCACATGTTTAAATCAATTACATATTGTAGTTGTGTGTAAGTATGAAAATGTAGACGAAGTGTAGGACGACCCCCCCACTAGATGGAGTGACGACCTGGTAAGACATGCAGGAAGTCGATGGATGCAGGTGGCTCAGGACCGTGTTTTGTGGCATACCTTGGGGGAGGCCTATGTTCTGCAATGGACTTGTGAAAGGCTGTAATGATGATGATGATAACGATGAAAGTGTTACCTCATTCCAGGTAATTGTTGAGCGAATCAATTCGAAAGTGGGGAGAATTTTAGAACCGACAACATAAGTCCAACTTGTAAATGGTGCTTCGGCACTAGCTAGGGTGAGCACAGGCCGCCCTATTGACTCTTGCTGTACATAAATAAAAATTATTGTGTACTCAAAATGACCTAAAGATAGTAAGCCCTATATAAAGCAAAAGTCTAGTTGTGCATGAAGTATTGCTGCCATATATGGGCAAGTGCATGAATGGTTAAGAGGCTTATTGGTGACCCAAATCTGGCTGAAACCAATCTCATCAGTCTCCTAAAATATACATTTCGGAGAGTGAGAATGTGTGCAGGGATCGCAAAACTTAGTTTCTCTCTCTCCCTTCCACCTTCAGACAACCAGATGGTCATTTAGTCTCCACTTCATTGTAGATAGCTCCACACATTAAAAACAAATGGTTTGTGTCATCAATTATTATTGAATAATTTGCAAATATTTGTCATTCTGTTTGACAACAAAGACACCTCTTCCAGGGAAGAGTGAATAGGCTTTTGTTAAGCCAATTGGGTGTATTGTACCATCTTCCTTTGCCACTTTCTGTCAGATGGGATAGTAGTTTCAATTTTTGATAAAATAATTCAGGAAAATTAATGTTTTTCCTTAGGTATTAGGGCCACGTTTACCAGCTCTTCTGCCAGTTCTGGTACATGGTATGCGATATTCTGAAATGGATGTAATTCTTCTGCGCGGTGATCGCGATGACGATGCTGACGATGCCGAACCGGATCGAGAGTCTGACATTCGCCCACGCTTCCATAAACCGCGCTCGCACACCGTCAAACACAATGGTGAGAAATTGTACATTATATAAATTTTAAATTATACCTATCTGTTTAATTATAAAATGTAAAAAGTATGAACATTTTTATGTTAATTTTTACTATTATAATGAGAGCTCATATTGCTGTTCGTACTTTTAGTGTTTTTGAGGCTTCTCACTGGGTGGTCATTCTATATAGTAGGTGCCAGTCCCCAGCTATTCTTAAATCAATAATATTAATAATGTCCTTTGGACCGAAATTCTGTCACGGCGGCCAGTCTCAACGGAGACTAACCGTGTCTGAAGATTTTAAATTACCGCTGTGACCTTTATGGCGAACCGTATATTAACTCCCTTCATAAACATAAAATGTTGAGTCTCAGTGATCGCCGTAAATATTTCGATATCATTTTCTTGTATAAAATTCTAAATAATAAAATTGACTGCTCTCCTTTATTAGCCAAAATAAACATTAAAAGTAACTTTCGTCTGCCCGCTCGCCCTCAACGTGTATTTCAAACATTCGTACCACCTACACTTCGAAAAAAATATACACAAAACTGCTTTATCTCCCGTTCGTTAAAATTATACAATAAAGAATTTGTAAATCTCGATCTCTTTAGTTGCTCCTTAAAAAGTCTTAAACGAAGTATCTTTAAGAGTTATTTAGATGAATACTTGACAGCGTAACATTCGGTAATCTCTACGATGTATTAATTATTGTCCCTTAAAAATGTATGTTTTTCAACTTTAATTAAGTTACCTATTTTAAGCTTTACTGTACTGTTGTTACATAAAGATAAATTTACTACTCAGCTTCAACTAACATGGGTAAATCTTTCAACAAGCTAAACTGAAATGTTATTCTAATGTATTTCTTGGCACTCGTTGTCTATTAATTATGTAATGTTATAATATTGTACTTTCTTTTTTAATGACTGTTTGTGTCACAATAAATGGAAAAAAAAAAAGATAGGATTGTAGTGCTTGAGTGTACAGGCACAGATGCATTCTCTATTTTCTCACTCTCTATGATAGTCTGATCAAGCGCAGGAATGCAACAAACAGCTTTACGTGCTTTCCGAAGCACGGAAGTGAAACACCGCCAACTTCTAACTTTCAGACTCCGGGGAATTTCTTAACAAAAAACTCAATAACCGATTTTTATCTACTGACTCGGGGTGCAAACCCGTGAACTCATGATCAGCGGTCGTGTTTTCGACCACTACATCAAAGAGGCAGTTAAATTATTAAAGTAGAATTGAAAATACCAGATTGTATAATTATGGACTATAAGGCATAACTTTTCGGTCCTTAGAAGCGACAAAGCAATTACAGTCATAATTTAATTGCATAAGGTTTAATGTTAGTATTAGTAATAAAATTGAAAATGTTGTCTAGCCGGCGCAGGCGACAGCAACATGTCGGGCGGTGGCGAGTCGGATGACGAGGACGAAGGCGGCGCGGATGCGGACGACGGTTCGCTGTCCGACTGGAATTTACGCAAGTGCAGCGCGGCCGCGCTTGACGTGCTCGCCAACGTATTCGGAGCGGACTTGTTGCCTGTCCTCTTTCCTATACTCAAGGAGACACTATTCCACGAGGATTGGGTTATAAAGGTAATATTTCCACACATTGTGTTGTGCTCGGCTTAGTCATATTAAGTATATTGGTTAAAAGAAATAAGGAGGAAAGTACAAAGAGATAGGAAGAAAAGTTCAAGAGTGACATTGCTGTACTGACAAGCAGAATGTAGAACAGCCTTCTCGAAATTGAGTGACGATCTGGAAAAACATGGAGGAAGTCAATGGATACGGGTTAGGAGTGAGGTGTATTTATCGATTTACAGACAAAAAAACAGGTATCTTAAAATTACAGATTGTAACTGACAAACAAACTGAAATAACAGCTCCTGTTCCAAGAGATAACAAATCCACTAAAAGACAGTAACAAGTTTTTCTTTGTTCATATATATGACAGTTACCTTTGTTAGAATATTATAAAAAATGTTACTGTGACACCCTGTTACTTGTCACAAGCTCTGTCCTTTTTTCGCATAGGTTCAACATCTTACTTAGAAAGACCAGTACCAACCAAGACTATACTGTATGTAGTAACAGACTGCCATTTTGTAACAGGTTTTTGGAACTGATACTTATGTGAAACTGGAACAGACAGAACAGATATGGGTGGTTTCACAAAAATGTGACAGTGATAAAAAATAACAGTATTTTATTTTTATCGGAACCCGGTATAATTTTTGCAAAGGATCGATCCATTACATATTTTAATAAACGATATGGAGATTTTTGGGTTCATAATTTGCTTTTTAGTAATATTTTATTGGTATTTATCCGCCCAGATAATGAATAACGCTCCATTCCGTTACCAAATAAGCATAGTGGTTTTACCAAATCAAACACACTTTGAAATTGTTAGCAGTTTTTAATGTGTCTTAAGAACTGTATTTGTATAAAATAGTACAAAATTATAATAAACAAAAATAACAAACTTTAATTAATTCAGTCTTTATTTCCATTACGTTACTATTTGACCAGCTGTAACACTATTTTTATCGAGAAAATTACGAAGCCTTTCGAAAAAATACAATTATTATTATTTTAAAATAAACAACAAATAGTAGTCTTCTTAAGATTAACAAAAAAAAAATGTCTCTCCACGTTAATAAAGTAATACAAATAAAATTAAGTAATCAACAAAAATAGGACAGTCACCGAAAGGAATAGTAAAGTTTCGGAATGGAACTGTAAAGAATAGTTTACATGTAGGAAGAAAAATGTACCCATTTTTTTACATTTACACTTCCTAAAATTCCACCCGCAAAGATCGGGGAATCTTTAATTACACATAGTTTGTAACAAGTCTACGAGGGAAGTCTACTACGCACATGTCCGTACAAAATAAGAAAACGTTTTAGTATTTAAGAACTATTAATGGAGTTTCTCTGTTCATTTCATTTTTACAGCGTTTAGTAGGTGTTTCATTAGATGTGGATGCTTGTGGCACATTTAAAGCTTCTTTGTATACTTTTTGTTTTCTTTTCTGTTCTCGCCACAATTTTCGTCTTTGCTCTTTCTCTTGTTCGGTTAACTACAAAATTTTCTTTGCCTTTATCTTAATTCTTTGCAAATCTTTCTTTTTATACTCTTCATATTTTTCAACTTCTCCCTGTATCTTTTCATTTTTTCCGCCGGGGTCAGAGCCATCTATAAAAAAAGCACTTGTTACTAATGAATATTAGAAATAATATAAGGGCGTCAGCGCTTTGTTGTAATTTAAATATTTAATTAAAGATGATAATGATCTTTATTTGCGTGATTATTTTTAAATATTTCTAAATTTAAGTTTACAAAATTAGAATCAGTGCCATAACACTTTAGTGTTTGATTACATTATCATCATCATCATCATTCATCATTACAGCCCTTTACAAGTCCACTGCTGAACATAGGCCTCCCCCAAGGAATGCCACAAAGCACGGTCCTGAGCCACCTGCATCCATCGACTTCCTGCATGTCTTACCAGGTCGTCACTCCATCTATTGGGGGGTCACCTTACACTTCGTCTACCGGTACGAGGCTGCCACTCGAGAACCTTTTTTCCCCAACGGTTGTCGGTTCTTCGAGCTATACGGCTGGCCCATTGCTACTTCAGTTTACTAATCCGTTGGGCTATGTCGGTCACTCTGGTTCTACTGCGAATATCCTCATTTCTAAGTTTATCACGCAGAGCAACTCCGAGCGTAGCCCTCTCCATAGCTCGCTGAGCGACTTTGAGCGTCCTCATACGGCCAGCAGTGAAGGTGGTGGTGGAGGAAGGTGATATAAACCTCGCTTAACAAGTAAACAATAAAATATGTTATTATTGAAAGCGGTTCCAGTAGATTATAAAAAAATGGTAGGTACTTATATAAATTAAATATATTAATTACTGCAGGTATGTAAACCAGGCTTTATGTTTCCATTCCGTTACATGTTTTGTTCCGCTTCTACGAAACCGTCAATAAAGTTTCGGAGTGGAGGTAACGGTATCAGCACTTGCACAACATATGAAAGTTTCATTACAATTCTACTAACTATTCTGATTTCTAAATTTGAAAACTGGGTTTAGTAATATATCTATATTCTTGTAAAATAATAGTAAAATTAAAACAAGTTTAACTTACCATTAATTTCAGTTTCGGATCGTGGAACTTTTAAAATGCAATCGACTGACACTCACTACTCCAACATTCGTAGCGCTCGAATGACTTAAAAAAAATAGCGGTTGCTATTTCGTTGTAAATATGTGTTGCTACCGATAAAATAAAAACCAATTTGGTAGTTTATTTTAGTTTTTGTACATAACAAATCTTGGTTTCGGAATGGAGTTTTCCACCATGGCCAGATTATCGACCTAAACTTTAAAGACATATTATTTAAATTCTCAAACCTTATGATCTATACTGCTATAATTTTTGATTAAATGATAATCTTATGTTTAAAATGATATGTGCTAGTTGTATTCCCTATGAGTAAAAAGCCAAGAAAAACGGTATTAATTTCCATAGCCTGGGTATGGGACATCATAAAAAGCTGTATCATAATGGTTTTAAAATTATTTTAACAATTCCATTTATCTCCTCACCCCAACTTTTTATGCGTACGAGTGTTAAAAAATACTAAGCTACCCAAATAGCTATACATAGTGTAAAATAAAGTTATCCTGGGCAAGTACTAACTATCTTAAGTCATGGGACATAGCGAAAACTCGACACGCAAAAAATTGTGAAACCGCCCATATGCGCTTTTACCTGTTACAGCCCACTCTTAGGGCTGTTTTTTGTGGTATTCCATGGTTGAGGCCTTTGTTCAGCTATAAATTTGTAAAGAGCTATATTGATGATGATGATGAGAGTAAAAGGTATTTATCTTATGATTCTCTTTAAAAGATTTTCGAGTGCATATATGTATATAATAGGTATGACGTGTAGTCCAAATGCGGTAGCCTAATCATGTGGGAAAATGTCAGAATTATCTCACGCTCATCTAAAGAGTATAGCTTTGCTATCTTATGTGCTAGATGTGAAATACTGAGACTAGCGACAGGGAGCAGCGTCAATGCTGCAATATTCCTGCCAAACAAGGTGGTTATAGTAAATCTTTTCCACCATTAGAGTAGTTAATATCCAGTTGTTGACTGTGTGAAGGCTGGCTTGAGCATTTGATTTGTGTTGTCAAAATAGAAAAGGAGATGAACGAAATAGGGTGCTTGACATCATTCCGTATAGTTATACAAAAATGTGTAGGTAATAAAACGATAAATTATAAGCATAATTAAATGGTTTTTATTTCTGTTGTGCTTGGGACAATCATAAAAATTTTTTTAAATTGAAAAACGGAAGTTAATGCTTTTGCTATACCAAAAACGAAACGTTTCTTAATTAAGAATTTTGGCTTGGATGCTTGTCTTTTATGCCATGTCTTCATTTCATTCAGGATCTTCGTTTTTGTGGATTTTGACAATAACTCAACAGACAGTTGATGACATTATATAATTAAGTAATTGCAGAAAATTTTTTTATAGGTTGAGTTTTATTTTACTTTTTTTAATATCAACAAAACTGCATTATTTTGTGTCCTTTTCAATTGACTCAAACAACTTATCACGAGAATGAGTGATTTTACTACATAACATACAAATCATAAAACAAATTAAAATAAAACCCCAGGTCCTGCAAGAATATGATTTATTGATATACTTATGAAATATTGAAATCTTCAAAATAAGATATATTTGAACTTTGTTCACGCTGGGCCCAAGTTTGTATGTAATCAAGTTCATTTCTTTTGAAAAAAAAAATTCTTATTGGCGCATTTAATCTGATGTCGTATGTATGCACGTATCGCTAGACCTCTCGACATTTCCGCGTGAATCACCCGCGAAACATGAGTGTAGAAAAGCCATACTCAACCTTTTTTTATAGGGGTCACAAACATGTTTCGGTCATGGTGTCGAGGGCTGCAAGCAAAAATTATTTAGGTCTTAATTAAAACGTAATTCCAAGTTAAGAGAGCATATTATATTATATATATATATATAAGAGTGCATATGTCCAAGTCGAAATCTACGCGATCGCTTTGGAACGGCGTAATATTGACGCACACTACAATGTTATCTCTGTGTGCGTGTCAGTGCGAGCGTGAGGCTATAATAGTTGCCTAACGACGACTACGAATCACTTTGATCTTTGATTATATACCTGTCTTTGATACTGTTGGAACTAAAATAATAAAAAAATAATTTCCATATAATGGCATATATAGTGTAATCGGAGGCTAAATGTGGAAATTGTTTTATTCTTTTAGTAAATTGAAGTCGGCTTTACATTTTCACCCTATTGAGTATATTATAATATGTATATGTTCTAATTGAAAAATATGTTTTGTATAAAATATATATCATTTGATTAACTTTTATTCTGTTTCATAATGTAAACATAATTCATCAAACTAACAATTTCATTAGTGTCGGCGGGGATTAGTGTTGCCAGGTCTAACAAGTAAAATTTCGGGACGGAAGGTAAAAATAGTCGGGGATTTGGTTTTCATATCCGGACAACTACAATGACTACAAAATATAGGTTTCTTTGTAGCCTTTTGGTGCTTTATTGAGAGCCGTGGTAGCTCAGATGGTCAACGCTAACTGTAAATATCACAGTATGCGAGTAATGCGAGAAATTGTGACTGTAACTTTACTTTACTTTTGTGCTTTATAATTATTATTCGGGTCTGATCTCATAAACGAATAACTTTTCATCCAAACATCGTAAAAACTGATTTTTTTTTCATTTTAGGTAAATTCAAACATTTTTGAACTATTTTTTTTGCAGTTTCTGAATTTTTCAAATCACTCATTTTAATATAATTCTGTTTAAAACTTTTAAGGTTTTTTTTTCGACTGGTGAGACCATCGCACCAAGGTATGTAAAAGGATGTTGTTATATTGACTTCCTAGTTCTTCCAGAAGGCTTTAAAATCTTCTTTGGTTCAATTCTCTTGCTCGTATATAATTGACAATATTGATAACTGTTTTCATTACAGCTTCTATTTCTGGATTTACAACAAGAGCCGCCAAGTTTTCTTGGTGGATAATGCAATGAAATGTTATTAAATTGCTTAGATTATATTTTTCTTTAAATAACGAAATAAATTCATTTTCGGATCCAGTCATTGAAGGACAAGCATGTACATAGATACACGATTTTTTTCTATATCAATGTCATTCTGCTCTAAAAAATTGCAAATAGTATCCAAGGTAATCTGTGCCTCAGAAGAATTCCAAAAACAAAATCCTGTAATAAATTGTTTTCTTTCTAACAAACACTGAGCATTACGATGTTGCTGAATTCGAATGCCAAGCTAAAAAACTTGCACTTTCTTAGGTTATCTAATGTATCATCGTGAATAAATTTATAAATGTCTTCAATACGCCTCATACAGGTTGATTCTGAGAGCTGCAGATTTTTTTTTATATCAGATAGCATTTACTTTTTGTTACTGAATTTATCGAAAACTATATTGGTAGCTCTAACAAAGCATTCCTTTACAATTTCTGAATCGGTAAATGGTTTCATATTCTTACCAAGAATGTAACAAATTCCATATGATGCTGCGGAGTTTTGTGGTAAAATGACGCGAAATATTGTATTTCTTCAATATAATATTTCCACGACGTATCAAACAAATAGCTGCATTGTTTTTGTTTGGCACAACAAAATAATCTGTTTTCCATTCATCTTAAAACAATCTATTTTCACTAGATATTTTTCTTTTACACTTCTGACTTAAGACACTTCTGACATTTTTTAAAATAAATATAATAATAACTTTACTCCAAAGAACACATTTAACTACAATTACTGAATAAGATTAGCTTTGATTATTTGTTATCTCAGTTAAGAATCAAAATGCAGATGTTGTCAGTTGTCACCCATGTGGACTAATGAATAGACATTGAACGAGTAGGATTCGGCCTAGATTGGGCCGAATTTTCGGCTTTAAAAAAAACGCGGTAGCGGACGGCGCACAGAAGCCTTACACAGAGTTAGGGATGAAACGATATAAGTAAATAAAAGTATTTACTCGATAATTTTCTTTCATGATGAAGCAAAAAGTAGCAAACTAGACCCAAATAGGGCCCAAAAATTAGTGTTTTTGCATCACAATCTTACTCTTAAATTTTAAATATTAGCAATAATAATTTATATCAAATATTCTTATACATATACGTTCTCAATATGTCTGCTGTTTCTCATGTTCCTGATGTTTTAATGTGTCTAATATAATAATAATGATAAAAACTGGTTTTTTGTCTTTATTTTTATTCTGGAATATAATTAAGGCCGAGTACTCGGAACTCGGCCGTTAATACTCGGTGCTCGGCCAAACGCTAAAAAAGGGCCGAATCCGCCGAGTACTGAATCCAAACCGAGTACTCGTCCCATGTTTACTAATGAAAGTCTCGTTTTCAGTAAATGGGACTGTTTAAGTTTTTGTTCAAAACAGATTGTGTCGTTTATAAAGTGAACCAATATAAATAATAAGTAAAACAAAATAATAGTGAGCGATGACTGTTTTGCAATTGTATACTGATACTTCCGACACTCGTGAGAGTCGGTAGCGTTGAGAGCAAGTATGGTGTGTGCATCAGGAGAGCGGCATCCTGGCGCTGGGCGCGGTGGCGGACGGCTGCATGGGCGGCATGGTGCCGCACCTGCCCGACCTGGTGCCGTACTTGGTGTGCTGCCTGGCCGAACGCAAGGCGCTGGTGCGCGCCATCACCTGCTGGACGTTGTCGCGCTACTCGCATTGGATTGTGTCGCAGTCGCACGACCTCTACCTGCGCCCCGTCATGACCGAGGTCAGTGGATCAACAATATGTGGCTCATGGAACAGAGAATGTGTTAAATCCATCTGATAGTAAGTTACTACTGTAGTCCATAGACATATGCAGCTAACTTCAAACAAACAAAAAGGCTACAGGTGCATTGTCACCTCTGAGGACTAAGTCAGAATGCCCCACAACATGTAAAGCATTTAACTATACTGGTTCTCTTAACCACAAGGCAAGAAAAAGGCATTACCTAACCAATGAATTGATGGTATTTAACTATGTATTGATTGTAGTATTAGTTTCTGCTCTATATTGATTTAAATTTGTATATTTTGATATTACGAACAGCTTCTGAAACGTGTCCTCGACAACAACAAACGAGTGCAAGAAGCGGCGTGCTCGGCGTTCGCAACTCTCGAAGAAGAAGCATGTACAGAACTTGTTCCATACCTCGGACATATTCTACAGACTCTTGTCTATGCCTTCAGTAAATATCAGCATAAAAACTTACTTATACTCTATGACGCTATTGGAACATTGGCAGACTCTGTTGGGCATCATTTGAACAAACCAGAATACATAAATTTGTTAATGCCTCCTCTTATCACAAAATGGAATGTGTTAAAGGACGAAGACAAGGACTTGTTCCCTCTCCTTGAGGTTTGTATTTGATAACGTGCAATTTTATTAAGTATTTAAAAGACGCATATATAGTAGATGTCTGTTTTCTTTCAGTGTTTATCATCAGTAGCTACTGCTTTACAGTCTGGATTTCTACCATATTGCGAACCAGTCTTTAGGAGATGTGTTTCGTTAATAGAACAAACACTAAATCAAAATATTGTAAGTATGAAATATGCTTGTAGATATTGTATCAACTGAAATACTATATTTGCGTCAATAAGAAATATTTCAATAGAAATTTGTATAAATAAAAAAGTATCTAAATAAATATGTTTATTGTAAGTATCTCAATCTAATTTAACTGAAAAAGTAAACCCAACTAAGATTTGAACACTACTAAAAGTAGCAAATTCAAATCATATGAGAATCAATATTTTACACACCCACACACAGCAAGTGCACATAATTGCATAGTCCGAAAAAAATTTGATTCAATGCACAAATGGAGTCTCAATTGATAAAATAATTTATGCCTGAGGTTGTTGTCATTTGTATAAATATACTATGTATAAAGTATTTTATCATATGTTGATAAAATACTTTATACACGAGGTTGTGTCTTGCTTGTATTATTCTTACACCCACACATATAGATAACATTGATCTTTATTATTCTGACATAGACTGATTTCCAATACATAATGTACCAGGATGGTCTTAAAAGTTTCCGACCTTAACGGGAAGATGGCAGCACTCGCCAATAAAAGTTAGTAGTTACGCACTAAAAGGAGGATGGCCAAATGTGTATAGGAGCTGGACTTGGACAATTTTTTTTCATGTCCTAAAACAAACTATAGTTAGATTGGTTTGTTTTTATGTTGTAAACACAATCACGTTTAAAAATAATATCTAAATAGCCATTTTGGACGTGTAGTAGTTGTTATTTGACAGTCATATGAGAGAGTCGATGTGTGTGTTTTTGTTAAAATAGTAAAAATTGTGTATCAAGCTGTCATAAAGTGTTTGTTTTCGAAAAATAATACGCCTACGTAAATAAAAGATGAGTTAGACTCTGTGTATGGGGATCCTGCACCATCATTTACCACAGTAAAATTTTGGCCACGTGAATAAACGTGGCCGTGAGCACTTGGGAGATGATGAATGTTCACGACAAGAACTGCAACCACTGACGATAACATCGATAAAGTTTACGAAATGATGTTAGACGACGGCCGAATTAAAGAGAGAGAAATAGCAGATGCTAGGAAAATGTACAAAGAACGTGGTTGTCACATATTAAAACAAGATTTAGGCATTAGAAAGCTGTCAGCGCGTTGAGTGCCATGTTTGCTCATGTTAGACCAAAAACGTGTTCGAATGAACATTTCCAACGCTTTGTTAGCGCAGCTTAGGCGCAACAAATCCAAGTATTGGCGCCGATTAAGTACTGTAGATGAAACTTGGATACACCATTATATATGCGAAACAAAAATACAGTCAAAACAGTTGAATGCAAAAGGGGAACCGGCTCCAAAAAAAAGCAAAAACTGTTTTTTCGGCTGGGAAAGTGATTGTTACTTTTTTTGGGATAGTCATGGAGTTATCTTAATTGATTCAAACAGGAAAAACCATTACAGGTAAACATTAGAGTATGCTACTCATCATTACTTCACAAACTGAAAGCAGAATTATGGAAAAACTACCACATTTGCAGAAAAAGAAAACCATATTTCACCATGTCAACGCGTCGTCTCACCTCAGCGGTTGCCATGGTGAAACTCCACGAATTACGGTTTGAACTGCTTAACCATCCGCCTTACTCACCAGATATAGACCCAAGCGACTTCGTCTTTCTTTGTTCCCTAATCTAAAAATTGCGCTCGGAGGACAGACAATTTCGTCAAATAGGAGACAATCACCTTCGTGAACAATTATAGTATGTGAGCGTAATATGGTCGTCTGGTGAATATGGTCACTTTCTTATAACTCAAAAACTACAGCCTTGTTTGCATAGATGCCTCTGTGATATGATAGCTCTTCATTAGTCAATCAAATAATAAAGGGTCAATAAGGCGCTGCTTTCTCGACCCCATTTTGACAGTTGACATTATAGTTAATATTTTAGTCGGTTTTAGTATTGTAGTTAATTTTTTTTAAGTTGATTTTTCGAATTTTTCGTAATTTATATCTAAAGCTTGTTTCCTATTTTTTTCTTAATATATTAGTTATAGTATACAACTTTGTATTTTTGTCTGTCTTCTTCATAGTTTTGGTTTTATAGGGCGGCAAAGCTTAAGGTGACGATATTACCCTCACTTACCTTATTTTGCAGAAAAAAACGCTGAGTAATATTTGGACGGGTTAGAGAGATGGAAGCATCGCTGGGAGAAGTGCGTAGAGTTACAAAGAGACTATGTAGAAAATAAAAATAAATTTTAAGAGAATAGATTTCTTGTATCTTTGTTAGGTCGAAACTTTTCTGACCACCCATGTAAAACTTGTGTAAAACAGTTTTTTTCCTTTTGTAAAGACGAATCCTAATATAGGTAACCAATCCCAGAAATTTTTTATTTTTTATTACAAAATTTGAGCTGCTCAAAGTTAAAAAACTTTGCTAAACTAAGTTTCTATAAAAAGAGTTATTACGATGTTAAGGAATTTATGGATGATAATAACTCCTGGGAATAAGGTGATAGCTACCAAGCTATTTCTAATTTGTTTTGTGCTGTTAATTGTGTAATATAAATGATTGTATTTTTTTTAAATCCCCTGGGTTTCTTGCTGGTTCTTCCCCAGGTCAGAGGTGTTTTTTCCGAACCAGTGGTAATCAAATAAAGGAGTGACTTTCAATAAGTATTATTTATAATCCATATTGAATAAAAAAAGTTTGTTTCAATCAACTATTAACCCCTATTAGTGGATTGAAACTTGAAAGTCGTCTAAGGTAACTCGTATGAGGCCGTGTATAATTTGAGCTAAAATAAAATTATGTTATGGATTTTCTTTATTTACAGGCAAATAGTCAAAGCCCAGAACAGTTTGAAGCACCAGACAAGGACTTTATGATTGTGGCATTGGATCTATTAAGTGGATTAGCTGAAGGCCTAGACGGACACATTGATAATCTTGTACATAATTCTAACCTTATGCAGCTACTCTACCAGTGTATGCGAGATCCAATGCCTGAGGTAACTTTAGTGTATAATGAAAGATCATAAAAGTTTGTGCATACTAAAGCAAGCCTAACAGGGTTTACCGTTTCACATTAATCACACACTTAGTCACCAAAACTGAGACAATTTCTCTCCTAATTATATTATCTCTGTTATTTATGTTTATGTTATGTCTCCTCCTTCTGGAGCATTATACAAACAATACACGGTGAACAAAAACAGGGGTAAACACATTTCTTTCGTATTCTAACAGTGTTAATTATACTAACTAAAGAAATTTATGCTGTTAAGTATAATTCCCGTTGGCACCAATTAAATTAGTAATATTATTGTACTGACTTACAGCATACTCGGAAAAACGTCGTGAGGAAATCTGCATATGTGTATTTTTTTTAAATATTTTTCTAAGACAAGTGAAGTCCGTATTGGGGTAGCGCGGTGGACTCTTGCTGTCCTCAATGGGAGGGAGGGCCTGTGCTTAGTGCAGGGATATTTAAAATATCCAAAGAAAACTCTGTCTGATCCAAAAGGAGGTACCATAATGACATTACCATTTTTATGTTTTTTAAAATAGGTTTTTCTATTAAAATGTACTTAACATTTATTAATTTTTTAAAATTGGCAACACTGATGGCGATGGTGGTATTTGTGAACATTATTGTTACCTGATGGCCGTATTTTTTTATTTATTGTCTAAAAAGGATTCCATGGAAAGATTTATGCCACAAAACCAAGGGTACCTCAAGGATCGGACAGATTTTTTTTCATATTGTTATAACTTTTTACTAGACTTGCCAACAAATAATACTCAGACACACTCCGAACACCAAATATTCTGCAGGTTTCCTGGCCGAATAGCCAAATATAATGCAAAAGTATTCGGCCAGGAAGGAAGTATTTATCTATTCAGAGCATCTTTCCTCTGAAGCTGGGATTGACTAGGAGAAGAAAATGAGTAAACTACTGCCTGAAAATGCAGAAAATAGTCAATAGTCTTCCATTTCTAAATTTTAATTATGATAATTCAAGTGAATAGACATTTATTTGATAGTTTTTTTTTTGTTAATTTTTATTATACGGAAGTTTATTATGTACCTACAACTACAATGAATATGTTATTATAAAATCAATCAATATTTTCATTTTATCAATTATCTGACAACAACAAAATATTTGTACTTGGTATTCAATTAATATTCGACCGTATAGGATAAAAATAGCCGAACAGGCCGAATACCGAACCAAAGCCGAGTATTTGACATGTCTACTTTTTACTGTATGATAAATATTTTTAAATTTGCTTTGAATGTTTGTAAGCTGTTACTTCAATTTTATAACTTTTTAATTGTTAGGTTCGTCAGTCATCGTTTGCGCTGCTTGGGGACTTAACGAAAGCCTGTTTCCAACATGTACATATGTACATACCAGACTTTCTACCAATACTTGGGATGAATCTTAATCCGGAGCTCATTTCTGTATGTAATAATGCAACATGGGCCATTGGAGAGATTAGCATAAAATTAGGTAAGTCACACTATCTATTTCATCCTTGTCTTACATTAAACTTGTCGTTTATTTGTAGTGCCATAATTTTGACACTTGAATAAAATAATCGTGTTTTATGCAAACATCTTGGAGGTTCTAACTATACAGAATGTATTTTTATATTATACGTTAAATTATTGCCAGCCATCTTAAGTGCACTGTTAGGCATAGGCCTTTCAAAGAATGCACCAGCTGGTGTGTATTTTTCAAAGATTACCTGTATCCTTCATAGTGGGTAAGTAGCTATTTGTGAAATTTGTGAAATTTTGTTTTGTGGCATTGTATGGGTTTGCTTAATGGTCCCTGAGGCTTCTGTCAACAGAATGTATATCTCATGGAGATTAGGATGAACTTGAAGAAAAAGAAGAATTATTCTCTCTCACTTCACCTTATAAATCACATAATACGGAAATAACCTTAGCTTTTATAATATACATATACTGCTTTTAATGATTATATCATAAACTATAAGGATATAAAATAAAGTTATGAACAAAACTTTTTTGGTTTACAATTTTACGCAAAAAATAGACTAGTTTCAAAGGATAATGTAATAAGGTTTTTTAAACATGGAATTAATAGATCTTCAATATTTATTATAAGCATTGTCCCTTATTAACGTACATGGTTTTTCAGATAATCGCAGAAACTGAGTTTAAAGTTAAAAAAAAATTAAAGTACTTGCCTAAAGTCATTGAGCTAATATGTACTACGTACTAGAGGCGACTCTGCATTCAGCTACACTGTTCCACTCAGCTGTAGTGCATGCACCGCACTTTAATCAGTCACTCGCTAGGCGCTTATAGAGTTGTCACGTGTTGTGTTGATTTAAAAAAATCTTTTGATAAAAATATGCCGTCGTGTATACTTAGATATTGCACAAATAATTCAAGAAATATCAGTAAAAACCAAGGAATTACTTTTCATCGGTTAATAAGATACTTAATTAATAAAAAGTATTATGTATTAATAATAAAACAAATTATTCCTAAGACGCCATCTCGTGTCAGGGAATATAGACTATGAAATTAATATGTTCAGATGCGACATTTCTGTGGGTACATAAGTATAGGACGAATAATATATTTATTATACATATTATTTTTTTGTAGAGACATATATAAGTTATAATAATTTGGCAAAAATTTTCATGTTTAAATCTGCTTATTATTCTTTTATTTTATTTTTAGGTTTCCACATCAAAGTCAAAGTGGTATAAATTCGTCCAATTTTAACTCTCGCGTGCCCAGCATTTATGAACGACTTTTATTCTAATTTAAAGAAACATATTTGTAATTTAAATGTTATGTTAATAAGTTTTGTGAAACATACATTTAGTATGTTTTTATATTTGACTTAGATAAATCTGACTAAGAAAAATATCATTAAAATGTAATTGTGATATAATATCATGTAATATTATATTGAATAAGCAAATATAATATACAAAATAAATGACAAAATATAAATATTGTTCTCGATATAATTTACCTATTTAACAATACAATCTACTATTACCTACGGGTCATTTTACTTATGTTTATTCTATGATAAAAAAAACAACCGCGCGAACACAGAGTAGCGCACATTTTTTGTTTGAGATAGCTGTTCCAGTACTTGAGTACATATTACTTCAATGCCTAAAGTCCACTATTATATATATTATATATCGACAAAATACCATACAAAGGGGGGTCGCACCCCTTACCCTTCTGAATGGAAGCAATTTTTAATTTCAATATCTCATATACTTTAGAGTTCGTTGAAAGTCGTTTTATTTATCATTTAACGATGTACACATATATGAATATGACCTTATTTTAAAAATGATGAAATTAGCTAGCATGTAAAAAAAATTAACAAAAGCCTATGAGTTAGACAAAAAACTTAGTAAAATTTTGTGTTTTTTTTGAGTTATTGTGCTGTACCTTGGAAAGTAGGTCCTTAACATATTGTTTTTTTTTTAATAAGACAGGGGGGCAAACGAGCATACGGCTCACCTGATGGTAAGTGATTACCGCCGGGGATTGCAGATGCGTTGCCGGTCTTTTTAAAAGGAGTAGGCTCTTTTCTTGAAGGTCCATAAGTCTTATCGGTCTGGAAAAATCTCTGGTGGTAGTCGATTCCACAAGGAAGTTGTGCGAGGAAGAAAACTTCTTTTAAATCGCACGGTGGTGGACCGCCAGTCATCCAGATGGTATGTGAATGGTGAAATTGTGCGGCTGGAATTAGTCCGAAAAATTCCTCAGAGCACTCCCCGTGGTAGATGCGATAAAATACGCAGAGATGCAACATCTCTTCGCAGTACCAGTGAGTCACGCCGATCGGAAAGAGATCGGTCCCCGACGATTCGAACAGCTCTGCGCGGGATGCGATCAAATGGAAGGAGCTGGCACTGGGGGGCCCCGGCCCAGAGAAGGGAACAGTATTCCATGTGCGGCCGAACCTGCGCCTTGTAAAGTTGCAGGCGGTGAGCCGGCATAAAATACTGTCCCGCTCTGCTGAGCATGCCAAGCTTTTTAGAGGCATATTTGGCATTCTCTTTCAAGTGACCACGAAACTGCACGTCACTCGGTATGTCGACGCCGAGGATTCCGATACTGGCTTAGGCAACGTCGTATCTCCTCAGTTTCAAGGCCTTGAAACTGAGGAGATACGACGAAGGGTTCGAAAACTTGTGTCTTTTTGGGGATTAAACTGGACTCTATTTAGACGCCCCCAGTCCGAGACTTTGTTCAACAAGTTTCGACTTCAGACGCAAGTTTTTACTCAGCGCGACGTTTTCCTGAGAAATATTGGCACGGCCGGTGTATAAAGTATCACCAGTGCTGTCGTCTGCATTACAATGAATGTTACCCGGTTTGCAACATGTCATTGATATGCAGAAGAAACAGCGTTGGTGATGAAGGTTGATGAAGACGCAGCCTTGTGGAACGCCAGTGTATTGGGCATATAATCGGAGCATGCACCGTCTACTACGACCTTGATGCTCCGATCAGCAAGAAAACTGGTGATCCAGTTGCACAATTTCTCGGGAAACCCATAGGAAGGAAGCGCTTTGTGTCAAACCCGATCGAAGGCCTTCGCTATGTCCAAACTAACGGCCAACGCCTCCACCTTGGACTCTACTGCTTCCGGCGATTTATGAGTTAGGTAACCCAGAAGATCACCAGCCGAGCGACCGCGACGGAAACCGTACTGGCGTTCACTAATCAGGTGGCGATCTTCAAGGTACCACATGAGCTGGCTGTTAATAATGGATTCCATTATTTTAGAGAATAAGGAGGTGATTGATAGGCCTATAGTTGGACAGATCGGAGCGGTGCCCTTTTTTAGGAATCGGGTGCACGAGGGCTGTCTTCCATGATTTCGGGACTACGCCGAGGTAGTAGGAGTACCAGAAAAGACGCGTTAAGGCCGGTGCCAACTCCGGCCCACTCGACTACTTGACGTCCAGGGAGAGGAGTGCTCCACGCACTGAGCCTTGAGTAAACAGGACATCTTGCATGGAGCACTCACTCCGCGGAATGGTCGGCGGTGTGTTCCCACAGTCATCAAGAGTCCAGTTGGACGCAAAGAGAGAGCCCAGCAGATCGGCTTTGTCCTTTGCGGCATGGGCCAGTGAGTCGTTCTCCCTGTTCAGAGATGGGAGAGATGCCTGACAGAAGTTCCCTTGGACAGCCTTGGCGCGAGACCAGAATGCGCGTGTTCCCGAAGGAAGACGAACTAGTTTCTTGCCAATTCTGCGGATGTGCTCTGACTTTGCCTTGACAATGACACTTTTGAAGGACCTGGAAGCAGAATCGTACTTCTTTTTAAGAGCGCTGGTATTTGCATCCCGAGACGTCAATGCGCGAGCCCAGGCCTGGTAGCACTCCTGCTTATGACGTAGTGCAATTTTGCAGGAGCGACCAAACCTTATTTGTTCACAATGTGATAAATTAAACGACATTCAATGAACTCGAAAGAATACACGACATTGAAATTGAGGAATGCAAACCCCCCATTTGTGGTATTTTGTCGATGAAATTTAATGAACAACACGGGTAAAGTATCGGAAGTCCGATCCCTAACACACTGTATATATAGTATACTATAATTTATAGAAAAAGCTTATTCACAACTGGTTTACATAATATTTTCATAGATAGCGAAAATTCGACGTACGGTTCAACTGTAAAGGGGATTGCCCACTCTTCATAGACACTTCGGCCATGGGTGCCCACATATAAAAGTATATAGATATGATAATATGCAATTAAAGGAATAAAATGGTAAAGGAATTGCTTTAAAAAAAGTCGGGATTTTAAAAATATATAGGTTTTTATTTTCACAAATACAGTTTTTTTAACAACTACTTTTATCAAGTTTATCGCGTTTTATTTCCTTGATTTTTAATTCCCGACGTTTCGGGTGCTTTCCAGTACCCATGGTTACGGCGGACTGAGGTGACTGACGTCCCAATGTCAGTGTTAACCTGGAATACCTTCAGATTTTTAATTTTTCATTTATGGTCCGATCTACAGAATGAACTTACTGTGTCTTGAAGCCTTGCAGTGGTATGCTTGGGTTTAGTTTTAATTTCATTAATTAAAGGGTCCCAAGCAGGTGGTAGTACCAAGCCTCCTTCTCTATTTAAATAAGGATTTTTTTAATTTCAATAGTCTCACGTATCATCCTTGATAGGAATTGATGTTCCTTCGAGAGGATTTGTGGTCCATCAAATCTGATTTATGTATATCTGGTTGGGGCCGTCTAGGATATGATCACAAACTGCAAACTTCCCTGAACTTTAATGCTTCACGTCAGCTATATGTTCTTTTACGCGGGTTTTAATTGTTCTTTTCGTTTGCCCCATATATGAGCGACCACATTCACAACCAAGGGTGTACATTCCTGCACCTTTTAAAAGAATATGACACTTGATTGATGGTAAGAACTCACTAATCTTCTTCAGAGGCTTGTAGAATGTTTTAATA